ACAATATTCTATGGGGAACTATATTTTTTAACCTACTTAGCAGCCTTTTCACTTTCTAATAGGATTTTTTTCTTTGTGAAATCGGTTACATCCGATACCTTCCACAAACTCCTGAAAACCTAAGGAAGTGTGATGGCTCAGTGGATAAAGCCGTGGTCTTTGAATTGAAAGGTTCAGGGTTCAAGAACAAGTAGATAGATGCATTATAGGACCCATGGATTTGCCATTTATCTGTGTTGAAGAAAACCCTCTGGATAGACGTCAAGCCATAAGTCCCCTGGTTGATGATTTACAAAAGATGTGTTTCTTTTTTAGTCTCTTCCATGCCACAAAGTTTTTGAGTAATTGGTAAAAAATACCTTCGAGAATTGAATGCGAAGTTCTAATGAGTTTTGTGACTTTAAGTGTAAATAAAATAAGTTGCATGGGAATGAATTTGTTATGGAATGAAAATGGTGTGATTTCTATTATTTGTGGAATAAAAGTAGCCATTCTGAACCAAATAGGACTTTAACACTTGGGCTGGAGTAACACTGCAAGAGTGCACTAGAATGGCAGGGTGCAAGCCTGTTTGGAGGAATGTTATGCAGTCAGTGTCCAAGCTTGAAGAAGGAATGTTGCAGTCACAGAGCTACCAAGTGTCACGCATTATGTGTGATGTCACACATTTTGAGGGTCTGAAAACGCTCTAACGCAAGACGCGCGATTTTGAAAAAACACTTTACGTGTGTATACTCACACCGAGTCATGAAAATATCACGCATAGCTGATCTTTGAACTTGGCGTCTCTGCAGTCAGTGTCCAAGCTGGGAAAAGATAACGTGATAGCTAGATTCCGAGTCCAAACCAAAGATTTTCAACACTCATATTCTTATGTGGGATTTGCCATCCATGGCATGGAAGGGGTAGAAGTCAGGTATTGTTACATCAACATATCATATCAAGAAAGTTATGATGATGAACCTAATTACCATCCCCTTTTCTGTACATGGAGGCTTGTGGGCAGACACAAATCCTTGGCAGTCATGGTGCGTAATTATAGAGTGTCTGAACAAAGAGACAGTCAAGTCTGCTTGCAGTCTACTCCACCCCATGCATACGTAGAGGTGTATAGAGGTCGGGTGGATATGTCAACGTACTGTGGATCACAAGGTCTGCGGTGCGAGTCCCGCTGTGGTACTAATGTCCTTTGGCAAGACATTAATCTACAATTGCCACACTCGACCCAGGTGATGTAAATGGGTACCTGGCAGGAATGAATGCCTTGAAATGCTAGAGCCCCGTAATGACAGTCATGCTCAATCTAAGGTAATAACTGTGGAGTACCAGGAGTGTCAAGTCTGACAGACATGAGCGCTATACAAGAACCCACTATTATTGCTATTATTATTATACGCTCTGGTCTAGACACAGCTGTGCGTGAGTGTGTTTTTTTTTGTTTTTTGTACAGACATGTATCAATCAGATATGATTATTTACGTCCTGGGACTGACCTTTAACGCCACCATCCAGGACTTTAACATGGAATTGTATTCAAGTGTCAAATTAGAGTCTGTGCCTACAGACTACTTAAAGGCAGTGACGATATGAGCAAAAAAATCAACCCTGTTTCAGTAGGAGTGGTCTTTGGAGAATGATTGAGTCCTAGGGGGTGTTTCACAAAGCCTTTCTTCAATGACAAATATCAGTGACAAATCTGCTGATAACCAATCAGAAGCAAGGATTTCAGTAGCTTATAACAAAAACCGTCATTCGTCACTGATGTCAAGTTTTGTGAAACACCCCCCTGCTCCTCTTTCTCGTCGTCGCATATGCAACAGGGAAGGTTCTGCGGCCAAGGGCTCTTCTATGAGTTGATGGAGTGGTCATCAAGGATGCTTGTAGTCGCGCCCCTGGTCATGGGACTGTGTGATCTGGCCGAAGATCGATTGCAAATTGGATTTTGATTACAGTCATCGGTCAAGAGCGGCCGGGCGGCATGGCAGCAGAGATACGTACCGTAACCCAGAAGAATACCAGTAAAAAACAATTTCTACCTAATTGTAGGAAGCTGAGGAAGTATAGAGGTGTTTTGGTCTAGTGGATAAATCAACAGACTGTGAATCCTCTGACGCTTATCCGAACTAGGAAGTGCGATATTTTTTAGTTTTTAGTTCTCAGTTTTCAGTTTCAGTTTCAGTTACAGTTTTGTTTCTAACATTGCACAACGATTCCACTAAGTTAATGGTTAGCATGAACATGGATTATATTAATAGAGACAACAAAATAAAATAAGAAGGTGTGTTACTTTATATCAATTTGTTTGAATGCATTGGATTAAAAGACTGAACTAAAAAGAAGAATGAAATATGGCTGGGCCTATGGTAAAAGCTATGCTTGTAAATTATAGGCCCCCAAGGGTAGTGGATTTTATGATAGTCTTTAAAATAGAGGGAACAAAGCAATTAATGTAAATTGCACTAACAACAACAATATGCTCTCCATTCCAAAAAAAAGCGTTGATTTAAATAGATTTCATGAAGAACATATGGATATGAAGTACTTCTTAGATAAATTCTATGGTAATTTTTTTTGTTTAATTGCATTAAAATAACTGATCACAGTAGTCTATATTTAAAGCTTAATCACTCATGCACTATTACATTGTATGCATAAGTAAAGCTGCATAGAGAACTTGATTTTTACTTCTCAACCTCCTCGTCTTCCTCCTTCTCCTCCTTTTTCAGTTGCAGTACATGCTACCATTGGGTGTATTGCCATAATTCTGTTGGCTTGACAAAAAAAGATATATTGCCTCCAGACAAGTTGGCTAGCATCTGACCCTGGAAAACCAAGATTACAACATTCATCTCAAATTATTTGTTCTTTCATAAGATTTCACTTTACCAGAATGAAAGACTCTGAAATAAATTGAATTCTACAGCAATTAAGTATCATTCATCAGTCTGATAAAATGTTGAAGGAATATATCATCTTGATTTAGTTTAAAACAATTAAGTTTGATGAATTGGAAATAGAAGGCATTGGTAAAAGTCACTAGCAAACTAAGATTCTCTCTTTCTAGTGTTAGAGTTAAAAGCTAATGTGGTAGCATTATTGATGCAATGCATTAGTTCCATTCAATTGAAGCCACTATCCTAAAAGGTTAGAATATTATGTTGTTTTATTTTTAACAGGTAATATTGATTATCTTATTCAAGACTGGAAATGTGTAATTTTGCAAAAACAAGCATCTGTGGAAAGACACCCCCCCCCCCACCCCTCTAAAAAACACAACACAACACCAAAGCGTTTACAGATTTATTTTGTTCTTTGTTCAAGAAATATGAAGACCAATATTATTGATTGGGTGGCTTAACCGCCTAAGGCACTGATGATAAAAAATTGATCTAGAAGAAAAATGGTATACAGTTTGTGAATATGAGTTCATTCAACCCTTGTGGGGGAATAAAAGGATAAAATGAGAGGCAAGGATGGGTATCAGAAATGGCAATATTAAAGGTAATACAAAGTTTTGGTATGGGGTCATGAATTTGGTTCAAATGAACATATTGGAAGCATATGCGATCCGTAAATATTCAATGATCGTTGTCGCGGTTGAAATCGAGTCTGAAGTTATGAAATTGTCAATAATAAACTCTTTATGTTGTATAGCACCCTCTCAAGGTCAGTATATTAATTAAGCTATAAAGCAATATTTCTTGACTGAAATCGACCGATTAGCTATTCCCGTTTGGAAATTATATATCACAACTACATATTCTGAGATGTGCATGGTCGCAGCTACCATTGTACGGCAGTAGGCGATATTTGAAATTTATTAAAATTTACCGGGAGCACCAGTAAATTTTTATATTCCATTTTTCTCGAAAAGCAGAAGTGTTTTAGGGGATAAAAATTAGTGTGCTTATAATACATCCACAGGGGAATCCAAATATATCAAAATTGTAAAGAATCACTATCCACCCAATTTTCAAAATTTACCAAAACTTTGTATTACCTTTAACCCTTTCACAATGATAATTCCATATTTTGTGATTTAGATCAATTACTTTTGATTCAGAGCCTAAGAAAATATGCCAGATCCATGAGTTAGAAGGGCAAAATTTATGCACACTTTGTATCTATTTTGGTCTTGTGGCAGCTGTTTAAAGGAAGGAGAGATAAAGAGAAAGAAAGCAACTTCAAAAGAGGAGAAAAAGAGGAAGGTAAGAGAGAAAGAGAGAGGAGAGAGACTGTGAGAGGAATGAAAAACCTCAGTGAAAGAGAGAGGCAAGAGAGAAAGAAAAAACAAGAGCAAAGGAGGGAAAAGAGATTTGCAGAAAATTGTAAGATAGATGAGAGCAACAGTAAGACTGATAAAGAGAAGAGAAATATAGAAAGAGATAAAGAGACAGAGCTAGGCAGAGACACTCTGGTAGATCCATAACACTTGCATACATTGACAATCAATTCATCAGTTAGGAAGACTGAAGTAAAGATGTTCATTCTAAAGTCTACAATCTTCTCTTTCTCAGTGTAGTGCTCAGTTAATTTGTTTATCTTCCATCTTCCGTGGCAGGAGATAAATCATTTCTGAAGAGATAGATTTGTCTTATGAAAACAAAGCACATGAGTATTGACAAGTGTAACTGATCTTTGCAAGTACCTATTTGTATCCTTTATCAGTCTTGTCTAGTGGAATGTCTGAGCTTAAATTGTACACAAATTTGTATGTGGAGTAGAAATGATAAAGTAATGTACACAGAAAAAACGATTGTGAGTTGAAATAGAATTAGGTACTTGAAATCTTGATTTAGCTTGACTATTGTGGTCAAGTTTGTACTGCTTACATGATTTTGGTCACTCAATGATAATTGTTTTCAGATGAGACACCTTAGCAGTCAGTTAAAATTCACTTTCCATTGTAAAAAATAACAGTGGCCTCTGTGAAGACCATAAAATACACTACCCTTTCTTGATTCATAATGAATATTATTTTCATTTTTATTTTTCTGCAGGATGATTTGATGTTTCTCTGCCTCGACATCAAACCTCTTCATGTTCTAATTGCGTAAAGACTTACAGGTAAGCATTTCTGAAGTCATTTTCAGGCATGTAAGATGAGTGTTTAGATAAGAAGTAAAAAGACGGTGCTTATATTGTCAGGCATCTAATCATCTACTGAAAGCCAGAAGGGCAGTAAGTTGTATACTTTAATGTGAAAGCAGCCCTTTTGACTTTTAACAGATTTAAGGATCTATGAGGTTCAAAGGTTTCTTGGGTGTGTTGTAGGCCACAAGCCTAAGAACCAATCCATAGGGTCTCTGCATTTTCATATCTACTCTGGATATATAAGCAAGTATTTATGTTGTGTGGATCCATTTGACACAAAGATTGGAAAAGGTACTTTACGACTTGCTGATTGTCAAGAAATGGCTTTGGATTTGTCCACAGTGATGTGAGTTCTGAAATGTAAGGATGATTTATAGTAAATACATTAATATCTACTGTAGATATACAGATATCACTGCTGTAAGGACTTTTGAAAAATCAACAACATTTTGTCACTCAAAAAAAAAAAATCCTTGTTGCTTAAGATATCTGTTGAAGGCAGAGAGAGGTGCACGTCCTTCGCAATGGTGCAAGCATTCTTGAGATTGGTTCTAAATTTAAATTGTTGAAGCTCGTCAAGCAAACAAAGTTATGTCTCTTTCAGTGCGTGCTCCTTGGTATGCAGGCTGTAATTTGCTAACAAATTTAATTTGTCAGAACCCTTTGCAGTTGTTTACGGGAGGGATATACTGTTACCGGGGACTCTGATGTAACAACAAGGATAAGATATAATTTGATTAGAGGGAATGCGATAGGTAAACAAATGGAGGAACAAGCAACAAGGCGAGAGAGAGGGGGAGAGAGAGGGGGAGAGAGTGAGAGAGAGCGAGCAAGCGCTAAGAGAGCTTAGTAAGGAGGGAGAAATGGGAGAGAGATGACGAAACAGAAAGAGTTTTAGGGAGAAGAAAAGAAAGGAAGATAGAGAGAGAGAGAGCGAGCAAGAGGAGGTGGAAATAGAATATTGGAGGAGAAATGAGGGGGGAGAGAGAGAGAGAGAGAGAGAGAGAGGGGGGTGGGGGAGAAAGGAAGTGAAAGGAGAAATTATAGGAGAGAGGAAAAAAAATTAAAAGAAAATAATGCCTGCAATGCAATGTAGAGAGAAACTTAGAATAAATCAGAAGCATAGCTATGGAATACAATATATTTCAGGATTAAGAAATTGTATGGAGTGAGGTTTATTACGTACCTTTAGTTACCCCCAAAAAAATGTTTATAGAAGTATTATGAATAGATGTGGAAAGGGTGCTTCTTCCAGATGAAAAAAAAGAAAAGAGATCAAGGAGATACCATATGAGAGAATGAGATGGGGGGGGGGGGGAATTTACCAAGACATTAAGAGAAAGAGATGCGATGAAATTGGCAACAATAGTCAAATTTGACTAATAGCCATTATAATACCAAACAAAAAAGAAGAAGAATGAAAGAGTCAAATGTCAAATCTTTCATCAGAACAAAAGATAAGTTGTGATGACAGACAGGACAGGTGTGTAATAGACCTTTGGCAAATAGATAACAATTACAAACGAGAGAGGAAGGTTACATTCTGCACACCAGGTGATGTCAGTATTTATAGTCTGATGGCATTACCTTAGTGGTCTGTTTAGACTATAAAGAATCATCTTGCAGGAAAAAGGGGCATTCACACAAGAATTGCTTATTTCTGTAGCCCTCCTGCATCTAAAGTATGTTAATTATGCATTCAATGTATTCGTTTAAATTCAATATATTTGTTTAATATCGTTTATTATCTGTATAAAATTATATACACTTGAAATATTGTATCAAGCCATATTATGTTCATGAAAATGTATGATGAAAAAAAGAAAAAAGATGCAGAAACCAATAAATCAAATCAAAATCAAATCAAAATCAAATCAAATCAATAACAATATTTCATAAACAATTGTATTAAGTAACTGGTTTTGAAGAGGTTAGTCGACATGACAGCTTTCCAAACATTGGTGCATGCTCACGATAGGCACTGTCCAGTTTAATATAGATTTTCGTACAATGCATCATTCATACTAGAACGGGACTCTGATTCCCTATTGAGTTTTCATTCAAAACGATGCTCAAACTATGCGTTTTTTCGCTATACACCATTTCATCATTTGACGTTTCTTTACACTATGTTTACATGAGAAGAGAAGTAACACTTATCGTATAGCTGCAAGGTAATCTTAATAGCAATACGGTGAACTCCAATGATACACTGAACAGGGGGGTTCAAGTTTGGTATTTCTGTGGTGGTTTGCAGGTGTACAGTCTATGCCTTGTACTATTTTTGCAGCAGGCAGGCGGTGTGTAATTACCGGTGATTGCTATCGATTTGAATTATGAAAGCAATCATCTCTCACGGCTAGAGGGATATTATAAAATCACCCAGGATATATTCTGCTATTTGGGAAGTATATTAGGAGATTGAAGCCCCCCCCCCCCCCTCTCTCTCTCTCTAACTGTTAAACATATTATTAAAGAGTTCTCTTCTATCTCTCTCTCTTCTCCCTCAACCCCCCTTTCTCTCTTCCTGCTCCTCTCTCCCATCTCTCTTTTACATGTCTCTTTTTCCACCCCCTTCTCCTCTCTCTCTGTCTCTGTCTCTTTCTCTGTCTTTCTGCCTCTGTTTCTCCCTTTCCCTCTCTCGCCCTTTCTTTCACTCTGAACTCTACACTCGCTTCTCCCTTCCTCTCATATGTTTTTAGGAAGAAACGAAAATGCACACAAGATGTTTGATATTAGTTGTGCAGGCATATTCAACTTGATATGAAGAAATGACACGTAGCTGGTGGCATCAGAGAAAGATATATATATATATAGAGAGAGAGAGAGAGAGAGAGAGAGGCAGATATATAGCGAGAGGTAGATATAGGGTGAGTGAGGTAGAGAAAGAGAGGGGGAGGGAAGAGAGTGGGAAAGAGAGAGAGGTTAATAGGGGAGAGAGAGAATGAAATAGAAAAAGAGAGTGAGTGAGTGCAGAGAGTAATAAAGAGAGAAAGGGAGAGAGAGAGAAAGTGGGAGGGGGAGGCAAACATGCATGGGTGAAGAAGAGTGACAATTAAACAAACAAGTTGGCTGTCACCAGGTATACTAGATCTTTCTTTATCAAGAAAGACAAATACATTATGTTTATAATCAATCACATAGCGTCAGACCAGCCAGGAGTAGAATAAATCGGTCATCATCACCAGAATCCTCATGTACATACTGCTTGTAACTAGCAATAGAGGGACGAATGGGAAGCTGGTGGAAAGAAAGTGTATGATAAAAGTGGAACCAGTTGCAGAAGATAATGAAAACAATAACATTGAAATAATTTTTAAAAAGTTGTGTGTGTCTGAGAGAGAGAGAGAGAGAGAGAGAGAGAGAGAGAGAGAGAGAAAGAGAGAGAGAGAGAGAGAGAGAGAGAGAGAGAGATGAGGGAGTGAGGAACAGATATAGTGGCAGACAGGCAGAGGGAGAGATATACTAGAAGAGAACAAGGAAAAGAGAGGAGACAGCTTAGTACGGGGAATAGAGAGAAAGGGATAATCAGACAATGAGAGATTCAAGAGTGACACGGAGAAGAAGATCATGGGAAAAAGAGGGAAAGACAGGGAGAGGGAGAGAAGGAGGAAGAGAAAGAGGAGGAAGGAGAGAGAGAGAGAGAGAGAGGGAGAGAGAGAGGGGAGGGAGGAAGGAAGGAAGGCAGGAAGAGAGGAGAGGGGATGGAGAGATACCTCAAGCAAGATAATTCGTCCTTGTTTTCACGAAGTGACGGTAGTGAGGAAAATCGTAATGCAAAGTGAATGCAATTTTTTTTCACTACCGTCACTTCGTGAAAACAGCGACGAATTGGTAAGTGAAAAACAGAAGAAAAAGGAACAGACCTCAAAATTGATGATGAACGTGATCTCAAAACGTGCCAAGTGTTTGGTTTTTGTGCGAGGACGCTCAACTATTGTATATGCAGCCTCTCATATTTTCCTCGCTCTACCATCGATCTGAAAATTGGCATGTCCATATTTTTACCACAATTCCTTAACAACTCATGTTGTTTGTTCTGAATCCCTTTATAATGGTACTTGAATAGGTATATCATTACAGAACATGTCAGCTTTTATTGATGTGATGTCGATTTGAGGTACCTTAATTGCTTTCTTCTTCTGAGTCAACATGAAGTATGGCTGTTTTTTTTTGGCCCAAATTCCATTACCTACATTTACCTCACCTTTTTTTTAAGATGATGGATATATACAATGTCAATTGGTCTGTCAAGAGCCCTGCCATTTTGAAATGTGCTGGTAATATAGAATGGTTACCAGTAATAATAGAAAAGGAAATAGATTCAGGTTATAATATATAATTATTATCTCTAATGGACCTATGAAAAATGAATGTGAACTCCCCCCCCCCCCCCCCCCACTGGTCCTGCCCTTTTCATCATAATGACCTACTTCAGAAGGGAAAGCCTGACTATTAGTCTGTCCATTAATGTCTATCAAATAATACTCTTAGAATAGGCCTAATTTTGTGTAAAATACACTTTATCACTTTATACATTTTCTCTCAGCACAAGTTTTGAAAAACAACAGGTGCAATTAACTTGCTCCTTACAGTTTAGCTAAAAAGAACCCACAACTCTCTCCCACTCTCTCGAGTATTGTGGAAGTAAAACATCTGCTGTACCAGGCTTATGATATAATTATATGCAATCAGATTGACCTATTTTGTAAGCCAAGTAGATGGATTGAAGATTATCTTTTTTATCTTTTCAATCAGTAGATACATTATACCTCTGGTCTAGATATCATCTGATATGATAATTGCGTTCAAAGGTAATGAATAAATTTCCATGGAGAAAAGCTTTATGCAATGATGGTCAACTATCCGTATAAAAATATCAACAATGATATTATCCAAGTTATGCAAGTCTATCTAGCAATTTACAAACATCTGTTTAGAGTCAGAAGGATGTTAACTCGAATAACTTAGCACACAGTTAACACCCTTCTGGCTCTGAGCTGATGTTTGTAAAATGCTAGATAGACTTGCATAATTCATGTTGGTGAAGGATATAGTCTTCACTAATGAATAATAGTGGAAAGTTGTATGGAATAAGGTTAGGTTTTCTGTAAAATAAATAAAGATGTAAATTTGCCAATAGAGAGTAACATTTTAGTGGAAGAGATTTTCTTGCGGAGGGGAGAATATATTGGCATGGCGTGGAGGTCAGGTTTGCTGTAAAATGAATAAAGCAAATATGTTTGTGAGGGGCAGAAGGATTTGCAAATTAGTGAAGAGTCTCTTTTGGGGTGGCAAATTAGATTTACATGATGAACAGCTGTATGGAATTAGGTCAGTTTTGCTGTAAAATAAAAACAGTTTTTAAGATGGTCTTAAGAAGTATAAGATGTCGCAAAACATATGTACCGTATCAATGAAATATCATATACAAGAAAATTATGACCAAAACCCCCCAAAAACAAGCATGAAAGCTAGAAAGTTCACACTTGCAAAGCACTTTAGTACACTGATCATGCTCAGAAGCTCTTTCACATGTATCCTTTTCAAATTTCTTAGTGCATTTTGACACCACTCAAGGTAGAGCTAGATTCAAGATTCACAGAGAGAGTTTGCAGTGTGCCACTTTTCCAAGGTGATAAATCTTTGAAAATCACTTTAGAAAAACAAATTCTCAAAGAAAGTTTGATAACACTTTTTGTACATAAAAGAATGTCTCGGGAACTTCATGAAGACTAGTAACTCCAAACTTATAGAATATTCTACTACACTGATCACGGCTTAGGAGCCCTTTCACATTTACAAACATCGCTTGGTGCACGCGCTGATACCTCACGAGGGACAATTCCTTGAAGAATGATCCAGCAAAGCTCACACCCTTCACTTAGTTCATGATTATTTAACCACTCTGTATTTCTCTCTCTCTCTCTTTGGTTGAAAGGGAGAATTCAAATTGTACCACTTTTAAAGCTTCAAGACAAATATTTTCTAGAAGAAAGACCACTATTGATTCTTGCACATGCAAGTATTTTTTAGACTCTCATCAAATTAAGGTAGTGCGAATTGAGGTAGTGCAAACTTGCAGAAAATTGTTGGTGCTTTTACAATGTGATAAATATTGAAGAAATATATTTTCTAGAAGAAAGACCTTTATTGATTCTTGCACAGACAAGTATTTCTTAGGCACTCATCAAATCTAGGTCTGTCAAATTTTCAGAAAAATGTTATAATCTGATCATGCTCAGGAGCTCTTTCACATGTATCCT